ATTCTGTCTTTATTTGAAATCAGATTAATGTGCACCAAATCCCTTTCCATTGGGTTATATCCATTAGAAACCAATGCATATCAAAAAAGTTACCTCCATTTTGTGCCCATTATCTTAATTTGTTAGAATAGTATAGACAGATTCTTGTAGTGTTGCTCATTTCTAGCAGGTCATTAAAAAAGTAAACCCTTTGCCCTAGCTAGTTTGGCTCAGTGGATAGAGCATTAGCCTGAGGACTGAAGGGTCCCTGTTTCAATTCCAGTCAAGAACATATGTCCAGGTTGCAGGCTGGGTCCCCAGTAGGGGGCGTGCAGGAGGAAGCCAATCAATGATTCTCTCTCATCATTGATGTTTCTATCTCTCTCTCCCTCTCCCTTCCTCTCTGAAGTCAATAAAAAATATATTTTAAAAAAGTAAACCCTTTGTGCTTTCTGTTCATTCTTTAGAAATAAAAATGATTGTAAAACTGGTTATAAAACCAAAATTATAAAGATTTTTTCCCAAAGTAGAAATAATTTGCTTAAAATCTTATATTCATTTGGGCACTATTTTAACACAGGCTATTTTAAATTTCAGCATTGTTTTCTGTGTGTTGTCTCCAGGAATCTTATAAGTCTACTTTCCTATAAAATTTGGTCTACCAAAATCAATACATAACTGATTTGACTAATTATAGCTTAAAGTGACAAAATATTTCAATGAAAACTAAGCATATTATTCATGAGTTAGGTCTCAAGGTTTTGGTTTCATAGGAAGGAAGCTCTCTATTATGTGGATCTGTAAAATGATCCAAACTTCAGAGACAGGAAGCTGATAACTTGATTTATCTTAATGGCTTTGGCTCTTGAATAAATGATAATGGTTTGTTCTTCTTATAAAAAGAAATGGAGCCCGGCCGGCATGGCTCAGTACTTGAGTGTAGACCTATGCACCAGGAGGTCAAGGTTTGATTCCTAGTAGGGGCACATGCCCGGGTTGCGTGCTTGATCCCATGTGGGGTGTGCAGGAGGCAACTGATCAATGACTCTCTCACCATTGATGTTTCTCCCTCTCCCTTCCACTCTGAAATCAATAAAAATATATTTTTAAAAAAGACTTAAAAAATGGAATTTATATAATGAGTCCTAATTGCCACATTTGTTCTACTTCTTAAAGGATTTCTATTTTCTAAGACATTCTTTTATTATTATTTATAAGAAGTCAAAACTAACTGAAAGCCATTCTTTGACCACATTTTGCCATCAGCTGAAATTCAGGAAAGAATACAGGACTGATTACCAAATCAATAAATCTAGCCACAGGCTGACTAAAAGCTTCCTTTAATCTTCTTCCTGTTAAGTCTTCCTTTAAATTAAACCATTCCCATTGTGAATTATTTAAGTGAATGGTATGTTTATAAAAAGATCACACATGATTCTTCATACAAAAATACTCAAGAAACCTAAAAAAATCCATCACCATATTTTTGGAATTAGAGTATGAATCAAGATGCTACAGCTTAAAGGGGAGTGGGTTAATGTCCTGAAAAGCTTCAGAGAGAAATAGAAAAGTCAAGTTTATTTCCTGATTTGTGCAGGATGATTCCCAAAGTGCAGTTAAGTGTGTGGTCCAGGCTAGCTATTAGTGATTAAGTAGTTCCCTTTCACTGTCAAGGCTTTTCCCTGAGGTAATGCCTAAATTTCTTAAGTTTAATATTTTATCTTGTTTCTTTTAACCTCATCTTCTTTTAACAATAAGCGCTGCATATTTCCACCATGATGGTTTCTCAACTCTAGAATTTACTTTTCAAATTGTCACGTCTTAAGAGTTACAAAATTTATATTTATTGGTATCTTCCCACATTGTTCCTCTCAAAACTTAACTCATTTTACTTATATATTCCATAATTGCATTTTAAAATGAGTTTGTTTCTGAATATTGGATGCTCTTCCAAATATGTTCTCACAAAGAAACTGAGAAAGGGGTTTCCCTTTCTAAATTCAGACCTCTTAAATTCATTTAAAAATTAAATTTATTATTACTCTTTTCATTTTCCTTTATGGTAAACAGTTTCCTTCCCAAGTATTTATATTTCTACTAGAGGCCTGGTGCACGAATTCATGCACAGGTGGGGTCCCTCAGCCTGGCCAGCCATCAGGGCCGATGGGGGGTGCCGGCTGGGGGAGGGACCACAGGAGGTTGGCCAGGGGTGGGGAGGGAATGCGGGAGGTTGGCTGTGGGAGCGCACTGACCACCAAGGGGCAGCTCCTGTGTTGAGCATCTGCCCCCTGGTGGTCAATGCGTGTCATAGCAACTAGTAAACCAGTCATTCAGTTGCTTAGGCTTTTATATGTATAGATTTTCCAGGTTTCTTTTAACTGTAGCAAATACCAAAGAAAAATACAAACCATTTCAGAGTAAATGAGTCTGTTTCCTGCTCTCATTTATTAGATCATCTACTTCAATGCTATATATATGGCAGTATAACAGCTATTAATACCTTGAAATTGAGAAAGCCAAAGAAAATATATCACAGTTTGACTATATGAAAAGCTACTTAGATTTTTGATTTTATATAAACACCAATTTTTACCATTATAAAAGACAACATAATTATGCTTCATTTTTCTTTATAAAATTACCTTTTAACAGAATATTTGTTTTTGTCATCCCTTAGGTTTTTCTGTACTGATAAAAATTATTTTTAAAGAAAAATATTTAAAATAATTGTTTCATAGAAACAGAAAGTCTCATTATCAAATTCTGATAAAAAATTATAATCATGGGTAGAGTCTTACCATACTATTAATTTTCTTTCACCAAAGATGAGCATTTAGGAATTGTAATATTGGTAAATAAGATAAGCTTCTCAGTGAACTACAAAAGTGCCACAATAAAGATGAGGTAGTATGAGACTTTTCTTTTGTAAAAGGAAAATAGCATCTTTAGAAGAGATATTTATCCTGACATTGGTGTTGAAATCCTGAGCCTCATCTGCTAATAGAGGTGCTATTCTAATAGCTACCCTTCACTGGAACCAAGACAATCTTGAGATCACCGAGAAAAAAGAATGGTAGAAGATAATGGGAACAGATTTTCTTGGTTTAATTTTGTGGTAATTGCTAAAAATTTATTTTAACACTATTATTGAAAAATGCTATATTTATATTAGCAGCAGAGCTGCAGGAAATAGAAATGCTACTTCAACATAAAAGCAATGGTATTTAAGAAACATTTATTATAACTAAATTTTAGTAAAAATTTTTTCAACCCAGGTAGAAAGTTTCCTATTAGAGCTAAACCAGCATCAAGAAATTAATTACTATATGTAAACAGGTCATCAGAAGAAACAGTTGTCTAGGAGATTTATTATTCACTGATTCTTTTAAAGAGGGGATAGATAGGATATCACTTCATTTATCTTACATAGGGATAATGGTGTTTCTAAAAATGCTTTCCTGTTCTTGGGAAAGTAAATTTAAAATATTACACCTGTTGCCTAGTACTGTTCAGTATGACCTAAGCCATGTAGCTCTCAAAATGTTTTCCTTTTTTTGAAGCTACAATAAAGACATGTTAATTCTGAAGATAGAAATAATTATTTGAAACTTGAAGATTAAAAACAATATTAAGCTTTCTGAATACTAAGCTCTATGTTCACTTCTTGAATCTTTATTCAAGTTCAATTTAAAATAATGAAAACTTATTTAGGGACCAATGAAAATGTGTGGCTGTTTATAAACTGTAGCATCTCCCCAAGTAACAGGCTGAGTTTCTATAAAAGAGCTAAGTAGAAGAAACAGTTCATAAGTAAATACAGAAAAAAAACAACCCCACAATTGTTTTAGAACTTTAGTAACTACTAGTTACTAACAGTGTTATCATTATTTTTAAAGCTCCCAGTGAGAAAGGAACAATATTTATGTTCCAGGTTTTAAGAGAGACCTATTCAAGGATTAACAAATGACCATGCCACATTGTAGAATACATTCACCTCCAAAAATGTTATGCTCTCATTTGATTCTTACTGATGAGATTAATCAAATTTAGTAATCCTGCTTTAGTTAATATTTAAAATACTGTAAAAACACATCAAATTGGATTTTAAGCTATGTTGTTACCTTTAACATCCCTATTAGTAAATTACAAGTCAATTACATTAGTATAGATTGTGAATTACAACACTCAGCTTTACTGAAGAATTTGAAAACAACTCTGGAAAGGGAGATGGGGAAACCGTATTTTATGTATAGGAATGCCAATGGCATAAGTTAACAAAGCATTTTACATGTAAGAAAGGACACAGGATTATTTTTAAAAAAAATAATGAAATACAAATTATTAACTGTGTTTACAATGTCTACCAATTTTCAAATATCCCTGGATCATATGCAAGTTATAATTAAGAAAAGAAAAAAAATTAAGTATATACTCTATAGAATAAAAACAAAAACCACTTGGTCAAAAATACCCATTAACCCTTAGTGTGTAACTTTAAACAATTAGTGTTTTGTAAGAAAAATAAACAGATCTGGAAGCAAAATTTAGGGCAGAGGTTTATTTCAGACTCTTAACTGCCCTTGTAGAAAAACTCAAAGTAGCATTAAGAAAAATAAGGTATTAAATTCCCATGTTCCTACCCTCTACCTAGCATTGTTGTTTTGGTGCATCAATCCTGAGTACTCTAACTTTTGATTTATAGTGATATTCCTTCAGATATAATTTCATAGAAGAAGGAATTGGAAGGGCATCAATGCCATCATAAGTTGTACAGTTACAAATTACTGTTCTGCATATATGCTGTAGGGGAAAGGGGAAAGTCCGAATTAAGGGAGTGGATAAAAGTGGTTCAAAGAACATACAGGCACTTGGGTCCTTATAATGTTCTAGGAGCCCAGTAATATCAGGAGAATGGAAGACACAAGGATCATGTGCATCAAAGCTAAAGTTGTGATTCCACTGTTCAATCCTAGCATGAAGAGAACGACTATAGCGTCTGAAACTAACAGAGAATAAATAGTCTTCCTGTGCTGAGTCTCGAAGTAAAAAGGTACCCTCTGGTTTTCCTTCTAGGAGAGCTTCAGCTGCATACTTATCCATAACTCCCCAGTAACATGGATTGTTATTGATCTGAAGGAGGTCTGGTACAAGACAGTGGACATAATCAATCTGGGTGTGGTACTTAGGAGTTGTTCCCAACTGAAGGATTTCTTCATCCATTTCCCATTTGGGTTTGTTTCTTTTCCTGGAACTTGTGCAAAGTGTTATAATTTCATCATCTGAATCCATATCACTATCTTCTATACTATTATTTGAAACCAGGTTCATCAAAGAGCCAGGCATAGGACCACCTCTACATGAAGCATTGTTGGTGGTTATAACACAGGGCTGAACATTGGGATGTGAGAAACAGTTCACCTCTTCTTCCATGTTTCTTCTTTGTTTTGGTTGACCATCCCTCAATTCACTCTGAGACAAATCTGTGCTTATCAATTCATCTGGTTTGGGGTTTATAGGAGCAGTGTGTCGTTTAATAAAATGCCACCTAAAGGCTAAATCTGATCGAGGTGGGAAAGGACACTTATCTAACATGAGTTCACTGATATGAATTTTTCTTTTAGATGGAAGCCCCGAAGAGTGCCGACTACTACAATTCTTTATTGGGAAGCACTGCCCCACAGCATCTTGCAGTTTCTGTTTAAGAGATCGGCCTAAAAATCTATGCCCACAAGAATGATCTAAATCCAACTCGATGGATGAACAGCTGTGCTTTCTTTCTTGGCTCTGTAAAGGAACTTCAGTTTTCTCTATAACATTTACTGTTTCAGCATCTGAAAAACTTTCACTCTTTTTTGACCAAGATAACTTCTTTCCACTCCACACATAACCATCCTTTCTGTCAGCACTTCTACTCCTACTAGTTTTGGGCCTGACATCTACATTTTTACTATTACTTTCACTATTTTCTGCCATTTTAATAAGTTATCCAAAAATTCCAGTGTTATAAATACTGCTTTTTTAGTTTTTCTGGCAGGAAGTTTCTTCTGGGCACTTTCTGGATGTACCTAAGGGGAGAAAAAAAAAATCATTAATCATTTGTCATTCACATTATATAGTTTACATCTTAAGACCCAATTAGACCCAAGATGAAAAAGCATAATTAGTACATGAAAAAGATGTCAAGCCTCCTCTGTTAGCCAAAACATATGCTCAAAATGCAAATAATTTCTAGTCTTGAGGTACATCTTATGCCAATCTCTTTTTCCCTTATTTTTTTTATTTCACAGCAGACCAGTGAATAGGTTGTAAGAGACACTGAGAAATCTGTGAGCTGGTGTTTGAAGTCCACTACCCTATATAGTTTCTTCACTTCCCTCCCCTTGTTTTTATTCCTATTTATTGAAAATATGAAGTTTTAAGTTATAAAGAACTTACAAAATAATCACCACTGAACAGTACAAATGCCACATAACATTCCCAATGCAGTTGTTTGTTTGTTTTTTGGGGGGGAGGGGAGTTTCCAATTTTTATTTGCAAAAGACACAAATAATAGCCATCATGTTTCAGATCACTCTGAGATACCAGTGTTATCAAATTCCAGCACCCCCCAAAATATTTTTTTAGCTATTTTTCTCACGGGAAATGTAGAATATCCACTGAAGTTTTGAAATGCTAAAAAAACCCCCAAAAGAAATAAAAAAGGAAGGGAGTTAGGAAGAAAAAGAGGGAGGGAAGAAAAGAAAAAGTAGAAAAGAGAAAAAGGAAGAAACTAAGGGAGGGAGAGAGGAAGAGAAGGAGGAAGTCTGACACCCATTATGACTTCCCAGTTTCCTTGGGATTCAGAGGCCCTGGTTTTGAGAAACACCTATTTAAGTCAGAGGAGTCTAAGTATCTTCTTAGAGTAGGATAGTTATTTTCCTTTTCAAAGAAGGACAGGCATATGCCCTTCTATAGAGCTTCTTAATCTATCCTTCTGATGGAAAAGGATTAAATGTGTGCTGAAGAAATCTTCTAGCTCAGGCAAGCTCCTAACTACAGTCTTGGCCAAAGATGAATTTCTTTGGAGTTGGAGTGGTGGTATTTGGCATCAGTTGAATTTCAGCGTCTATCCACATTTTGGTGCCACAAGCTTTCGGGGAGGAGGTATCAGGCCAACTTGAGGCAAAATGAAGTTAATCACTATTCACCTTGACAAGGCTGTAATCTGCTTGAAGCCAGGGACTCTATACTCTATGTCACTTTTTTCTCGGATATCACTACAGAAGCTGGCACACAGTATAAATGGATTGATGATAATGTATTAAAAACCATGAAGTACTATAAACCATCCATCACATCAAGGTACCTATGGAAATGGGCAATGTACCATACACCCATTTACTAGTAGATGATTCATGTTTAATGTTCAAGTAAAGACTTTCACAACTGACAAAACTCTGATAATCTCAATGCAGTTTTGTCAACTGATTTCAATAACTGGTCAACTTCACTATCAATCTAGGCAGTTTTTGGAAAATACAGAATCGGACAAAAATTTGGTATTTCACACACACACACACACACACACACACACTTGTATTCTTCTTGATAATTTTGACAAACAAGCAGATAAATTTCTATGGGGCAATGCCTTTCCTATGAAATTGGCTAGATATACTAAAATTTACAATGTAAAATATTGAATTTTATTAAGACTAATGCTAATGATTGGCCATAGATGAAATTTACTTAGTTATTCTTAGGTGGAATAAGATTTAAGTCCAGAATTGGAGGGAAGGGTTCTATAATTTCAAATGTTTTGAAATTAAAGTTGAATTTTGTGTCTAAGAAAATCACACTCAACATTCTAATTATGATTAAGTTTCTGATTATGTCAGAGGAACATCAATAATCCCAGCAGTTAAGTAAATGTTTAATACTTACCTGGCAGGGGAAGATACCATGATCACGAAGTAAATGTTTAGAGCCACTTGAATCCTTTTAAAGCAGTAGGCAGGGTCCTCAAACTTTTTAAACAGGGGGCCAGTTCACTGTCCCTCAGACTGTTGGAGGGCCAGACTATAGTTTAAAAAAAACTATGAACAAATTCCTATGCACACTGCACATATCTTATTTTGAAGTAAAAAAACAAAACGGGAACAAATACAATATTTGTATTTGCATGTGGCCCGCGGGCCGTAGTTTGAGGACCCCTGCAGTAGGGTTTGAACCAAGCATCTGCAGTGGCAAATGATTGTCACACGCTTAAAGTGTGAACTGATGACACAGATTTGCTATATAAAGTACTGCATTTCTAAACACTGAATAGCATCTAGTATTATACTAACTGTTTTGATTTAGTAAACTCATGGATATATAATCATTTAAAGTCCATAGGGGAAAATATTTAAAATCTAATTTTGAAAGAAACATCATCACTTACATCACAAACACCAAAATTACACTCAACAGTATGCTTTGGCTGTTCACAGACTAAATTCCACTAAACAAAAATAAACATGCAGAAGCAACAAAGTAAACTGAAGAAAATGAAGTCACTGATTAGAAGAGACACTTCTGTTACTGCCTAAGAGCTTACACTCTAATATATTTTTTAAGATAAAAAATAATAAAAAGAGTGCCATACAGATTTTTTTGTTAATATTACATAATTTCAAATTTTTAACTCAGCACAAGAATGTGGAAAACTTATCATTTAAGGTTTGAAATGCTTTTTTTTTTTTACTTACTAAAAAAGTACTAAAATAGCAGTTTATTAAGTAGATGACCATCTCTATTCCATTGGGTGTGAGTTCTATCTTGCCCCCTTGCTACCTCAAAATTGTGTCAGTTCTACATCACAGCTAAGCTTTCTAACCTCTATTCTTTATTTTATTTTTATTTTAGAGGAAGGAAGAGGGGCGGGGGAAACATTAGTCAGTTGCCTTCCACATGGGCTCCATCAGGAATAGGACTTGCCACTTTTTGGTGTATGGGACCACCCTCCAACCAACTGAGTCACACCAGCCAGGGCTAACCTCTACTCGTGATAACACTTCCCACCTTTACCTACTTCAATTTTTCTCTGCCTTCAAACACAACCAAGTTTTCTATAAAATCTTTTACTGATTATAATGCTTCCTTTAGTTATAACTGCTGCTTTCCATTACTATATTTCTTTTTTAAAAAAAAATATATTTTATTGATTTTTTACAGAGAGGAAGGGAGAGGGATAGAGAGTTAGAAACATCGATGAGAGAGAAACATCGATCAGCCGCCTCCTGCACACTCCCCACTGGGGATGTGCCCGCAACCAAGGTACATGCCCTTGAGTCCGCAGGCCGACGCTCTATCCACTGATCCAAACCGGCCAGGGCTATATTTCTTAATGAGTAGTGTAACTTGATTTCCCCTTGAAATGAAAGTAGCTGCCCCCCCCCATTATAAATGAGAAATAAAAACACAAATCTCATCTTCAATGAAATTGGAAGATATCTGCTACAGAACGTGTGGGTAGAGAACATGGTGAAAAATGGGGAGCTAGGTTGAAAATCTGCATGACAGCAATTAAATCTCTATGGTTCTTACTCCGCCACTTAGAGTAGATGAGACATTATTTGTAGAAACTGAACCAGAGAGGTGTGGGACTTTGGATATCAGACATAGCAAGGACAGAGGGGAGGCTTCGGACTAAAATCAGAATGAAAGTTCCCCATTCCCTTAGCAGAAAGAAACAGAATGGCCAAAGCGAAAGACCTATAGTGCTGCTATCTGGGAATACTCTAATAAAAAGCTGGAAGTCCAGCCAAACCTGCAGTGAACCTCTCCAGTCCACAAGCCCCGCCGACTCATATGCAGCTTTTCAGGCATTGTTGTGCTTCATTCACTCTAGAATATGAATGCTCACAGGTTACCAGTTTTGAAGAAAGTCTGCAACATAAACAACGGAGACTAAAACATAAGGAACTTGGAGAAGACAGTAACCATAAAAGGAACAGAAAATAAAGTTGATTTCTTCTAAATTAAGAGAAGGTATTACACCTAAGAATGACTAAGAGAAGGTGCAGGACAATCAGAGAATAAGGGTTTGCAAATTAAAATCACGAATGCAGAAATAAAATACTCAACAGGAAAGTTAGAGGATGAGTTGAGAAAATATTAGAAAATAAGAAAATAGTGGTTAAGACAAGAAAGCTAAAATTAGATGATCAGAAAGCGCAGGGGCCTCAGCCGCCCGCAGTGCACCCTGGGAAAGCAACAGCACCAGACCCAAGATGGCAGCCAGCAGGAGGCTGATGAAGGAGCTTGAAGAAATCCGCAAATGTGGAATGAAAAACTTCCGTAACATCCAGGTTGATGAAGCTAATTTACTGACTTGGCAAGGGCTTATTGTTCCTGACAACCCTCCATATGATAAGGGGGCCTTCAGAATTGAAATCAGCTTTCCAGCGGAGTACCCATTCAAACCACCGACGATCACATTTAAAACAAAGATCTATCACCCCAACATCGATGAAAAGGGGCAGGTCTGCCTGCCAGTAATTAGTGCTGAAAACTGGAAGCCAGCAACCAAAACCGACCAAGTAATCCAGTCCCTCATTGCACTGGTGAACGACCCCCAGACCGAACACCCCCTTCGGGCTGACCTAGCTGAAGAATACTCTAAGGACCGTAAAAAATTCTGTAAGAATGCCGAAGAGTTTACAAAGAAATATGGAGAAAAGCGACCTGTGGACTAAAATCTGCCGCGACTGATTCCGGGGAGTGTGAGCAGAGACCCTGAGCAGCGCATTCAGACACTCTGCCCAGCAGGACTCTGTGGAAAATGGACACGGGCCCCCACCTGGCGTTCGCTTGTGGCAGTTACTAACTTCCTACAGTTTTCTCAATCCAAAGTGGTCTAGGTAACCTGTAAAGAAAGGATTAAAATTTATTTAAGATGTTCTAGTTCTGCTTTCTTTGTTTAAAACTCACTGTTTTAATCTAAAAAAAAAAAATAGAGGATCAATACAGACTTTTCATAGAAAATAACAAAATGTATGGGGAAAATTATCAAAGAAAATGTATTAGAAGAACATAAGCCTCTATAATGAAAGAGCCCACTGAGCACTCAGTAATGCTGGGGGGGGCGGAGGGGGGGCGGAGAGGGAATACACGTAAAGTTACATTATTCTAAAATGTTAGAATCCTTAAGATAAGGAGATACTAAAGTCTTTCTACCTTATAGGTAACAATACTGTACTGTATACTTAAAAATTTGTTAAAGAGGATAAACCTCATGCTAAGTGTTTTTAACACAATAAAATAAAATAATAAGTAAATAACTAAATAAAAGTAGCCTCCTGCTCCAGTAAAGTCTTCATGAGGGAGAAAAGTCATAGTCAAAGGACTAACTAAAATGACCTTTGGTTTCAGTACCCCTGGAAGCTAGAGACTAGTTTCTAACCTTGAAGAGATAACCAGCCAAACAATCAAATATGAGGATAAAATAAAAACATTTTCAGATGTGCAAAGTGTCAACAATTTTACCTCATATTGGATAATGTGCTCTTCTAAAATTACGGTGTAAATTCAAAACAAAGAAAGCAACACAGGACATAAGGTATTTAACATAGGAGAGAGGAAGGTATTCAGAGCTGCTAGAGAGCAAGTCATTCATATATACACACAAGGATAATAGGCTCCAAGGTGGAAAATCTTAAGTGAAAAAAATAGAATTGACTTGGAAAATTCAACTGAGAAGAAAGCAATAGAAAAAGAATTGGGTAATTACTGATTACAGAAAAATGAAAACATACAAGAAATAAAATAGAATTATCAAACATGGCTCAGCAGTGAACGATATTTATAGTCACCAACATTGTGATATAACTGTAATAAAAGAATGGTAAGAGGAGACTAAAATAGAGGTAAATCCTCATGTAATCTAGGAAGAACTCATCATAAGATAATGTCTAATAATTGATGAATCAAGAAAGCAAAGTATAAACATATCTAGAAACACAAAGGTAATAATCAGAAAAACAGTTAAATAATTTGAAAGTAGATGCCTTTGGGATGGGCAGGAGAGAAGTGCAGTGTTCCTAACATTATCTAAGCTTTTTAGCTTAATTTAATTTTTAAGCTAGGTGCATATGTCATTTTAATGAAATAAATTTAAATTCATACTCACTGTGAAAAACCCAAGGTAGACAAAAACATATGTCATTTTAATGAAATAAATTTAAAGTAATTCATACTCACTGTGAAAAACCCAAGGTAGACAAAATTGTAAAGAAAAATGTAAAAACTATCCATAATCCTACCATTCAGTAACAATTTTTAACATTTTCAGTATCTCTATCCATGTATATGATAAGGATGCAGTTCTACAACACAGTGACAGCAGGCATTAAAAATATGGTTTGAGTCCAGTTTATTTTATACTAGCCATATGACTTGGACACCTTAGTTTCTCTGTAAAGAAGAGGTACTGATGCTATTTATTTCACTGGGCTGCTGGGGATTAAATGAAATAATGTATATAAAGTACTCACCTCAGATTCTAAATGTGTTATGTATTCAATAAATGTTAACATATTTAAAGCATCTAAACCAGTTTTAGACTGATAGTGAAGAAATCACAGAATATCTGTCTCTAGCCCAATGCAAACCATAGTTTATGATCAAATATAATTTTTGGAAGGATAACTAATTCTTCAAAGTAAAAAACAATCAATATGCCAAAACTCAATAGACCATAAAGGTACAAAGCAATCTGACATTTTCTCCCAGATAACTATACATATTTACATGCTAACATTACAGGTTTACTTTGGCAAGGCTTACCAACTTGTATATAGTAGATACCAATTAATCAATCATCTCTGGATTTCAGGTTAACCATTCTTACATGTGCTAGTGCTGCAGGTGTCCATAAAATAAAGTGAAAAATATCATTACCTTAAATTTTCCACACATTTACCTGTACTCAAAGAGTTAATGCACAGAAAATCTTTTATCTTTTTGCATCTAAGAATTATAGCCTTATATAAATTTTACAGGGCTATTATTTTGCTAGAAAACTGAGTTCATGCTTCAGAAGTCCTACCTTTTAAAATTGTTATGGCAAAAAGTGATTTGCCAAGACATAGCATATCAATATACGGGCCAAAATATCACTTAATGTTGTAGTTTTCAAAATATGAATAACGTTTATTTTCCATTTATATTTCTCTAAAAGTTAGAAAAATTAAAATTTATAAATATTGGATATATGATTTACAATGTTCCAATAACTCATTGTCAGATGGTGTGCTGTTTCTGAGGTAAGAGTTGGAGTTCCAAAAAGCTGAGGACTTGATTTCGCCCTCTCCATTTCTTTATTCACTTTTCAGTGTACCACAACTGCTTGCATGTTGCTGAATAGATTTGTGGAATATATAATCTTAAATAAGAGAATTTTTATAATACTTTGTAAATAAACAGGATCATAGAAATTTTATAACACACAAGGTTTGCTAATTATCTCAGGGCAAAATATTTACATAAGTTTTGAATTTTTAAGACAAGTTATACAATTTTCTTTTACAAAATGACAAGTTCTAAATTTGATGAATTTTACTGGGGTAACAGGTAGCTTTTAGAAGCTACTTAGCAGATCTATTAAGAAAGAAAGGCTAGCACAACTTTGAAGAGGACTCCCTCTAGTGACTGAGGAAGACCCAGAAACTTCCTGGCCACCTGAGCCACACATGGCTGTATTAGAAGCACCTGAGAGGCTGAGGTAATGCTGGTGGCATGCATCATCATAGGATAAACTTTGACAAGTATCACCCAGGTTACTTTGGGAAAGTTGGTATGCGGCATTACCACTTAAAGAGGAACCAGAGCTTCTGCCCAACTGTCAACCGTGATAAACTGTGGAGCTTGGTCAGTGAGCAGGCACAGATAAATGCTGCCAGAAGCAAGACTTAGCTGCTCCTATCATCCACATGGTGAGATCAGACCACTACAAGTTCTGGGGAAGAGAAAGTTCCCAAAGCAGCCTGTCATCCTGAAGGCCAAATTCTTCAGCAGAAGAGCTGAGGAAAAGATTAAAGGTGTTGGGGGTGAGGTGGTGGGGAAGTGTGTCCTAGTAGCTTGAAGCCACACTGAAGGAAATTCATTAAGTGCTCACAAGTGCTGTTCAAAAAATAAAAAAGGAAGAAAGGCAGAACAAAACAAAACTGATCACTTTAAGTTACAGGAAACATTTTAACAATTACTGAGACAGTAACTGTTTTAAAAAACGTATGCTATAGAGATCATTTTAGATCTTGTGTGAAGAAGTATAGATACAAAATGATAAGAAGATGGCTTTACTACCATTTTTTATAGTACAGAAATAAAAAATACTCTGAAAGGTGCAGATAAATCAAAGATCTTTGTTGGTATCTGCAAAAAGCTTTTTTTTTTTTTCTTTTTTCTTTTGGTTTGGCTTAGTGGATAGAGCATTGGCCTGTGGGTCCTGGGTTTGATTCCGGTCAAGGGCATATATCTTGGTTGCAGGCTTGATCCCCAGCTCTGGTCAGGGTGTGCAGAAGGCAACCAATCGATGTGTCTCTCTCACATCAATATTTCTCTCTCTCTATCTCTCCCACCCTTCCACTCTCTCTAAAAATCAATGGAAAAATATCTTCAGGCAAGGAGTAACCAAAAATAAATAAATAAATAAATAAATAAGTAAGTAAGTAAGTAAGAAAAAAAAATCACTTGGGAGAAAATTGTTTTGGCTCCTGATTCAGTAATTAATTCTTTATGAAGGCAGCTAAGTGACATTTCTCTGCAGAGTACACAGTGACATCTTGTAAAAACATTATTTCTTAATGAGCCAGAGGCAAATGTCTAAAAAGCAAGTTTACAGAAAAGCCTTTTTTGAAAAAGCAAGTTCCCAGATTTAGTAGCCATTTGATCTGTGGTTCTAGCACCAACTGCAATGACAGTGATAATAAAATGAATACCCGACATGACCACTGTACTCTAATAAAAGATTTAAATAACATCTAATTAGTTATATTGAGGCCTGGAAGGTGATTTAAATTTAAGATTTCTATAGAAACTATTAAAAATCCCATAATTAAAGGTTAAACTTTATTTAGAAAATTCACTTATATCCTCTATGATGTTGGATAAGGGATTATTATTGTATATATTAGTTACTTATTGAACTAATAGATCTACAATGGTAATGTACACCTAAAACCAAAATTCATGTTAATACTGTTAAAATAAATTCGATCCTATAAAGAATACTATCCTATCCTATCTAATAAAAGAGAAACATGGTAATTAGCCGTATATCCGCTACCCTTCCCATAGGCTAATCAGGGCGATATGCAAATTAACTGCCAGCCAAGATGGCGGCCGGCAGCCATGCACTGAAGC